TTTGTGAAGTTCTCAAACGCTTTTTCTTTTGGCATGTGACATGAGTCAGGTCTCGGTGCTCTGAGAAGTGGGTACTTCTGATTATAACTTGTGCAGGTTGGCATTTGCTTGGTAAGGTGCAAGCCTCTTATTCCTGTCAATTGTACAATCCCAAGCATTCATGGTACACCCTCCCACTGCCCGCTGCTACATATCATTAACTCTTGCCCTCCCATATGTGGCTCATCCATCCACACCTGCTTAGAACAGGTGCGTGGACACTCAGGGAATATGACCAAAACTGACAATGAGCCTAAGCAAAGCATAACCACAGGCTGAAGCTGTCAACAGGTCCTCCCTCTTTCTTTCAACTCACACACTCCCAGGCATTTTATATGATCTTGTTGGTTGGCTTCCCATCCAGAATCACAACACAAACAAGGGACCCTCAAAAAAATTCATGGAAAACAGAATTCAAACGTAAGTTTGTTTTGATGTAAAATAAGATTAGAAATCCACACATAGCTTCTTATAATATACACTTTCCATGAATTTTGTGAAGTTCTCTCATTCCTATCTGAAGGAAAAGACTATGGTTTGGGAAGACTAGAACATGCTTGATTGTCATCTAGAAATAAGACATGCATTTGTGCAGAACCAAGAATTTGCTGAGACCAGAGTATTTCAGGCTGGCCCAATCAGAGGGCTTCCTCTGTGTCCTCTTCAGGTCCCACCTTGTGCAGCTAGCCATCAGCAGCCCAGAGACTGGGTTTGTGCTTTCTGAAACGACCCCACTCTAAAACCAGGAAAGGTGGGATTGAATGTGCTAATACAGGCAAATCACATCTCCAAGGCTATCCGTTTCCTTGGTGTTCTGGGTTTTACAAATACGTGGATGGTATATGTTGAAACATACCCACAAATCATTCCTGAGTAAACTAAGTTCCTATGATGACAAAACCTGAAGATCTACAACAATGAAAAAGAACACTCATAGGCAGGTTCCATGGAGTGAGTTGGCGGGGGAGGGCAGCTTTACTTTTCCCCTCAGGTGTCTTTCAACCACTAAGGAAAATAGAGGAAAGGCAGAGCTTGGGTCTTTTGTAATCAGTTTGCTTTCGGTCCTATAGCAGATGGTATCTTAGATTCATTGAAATCAGTGTCAAGTTACTGTGGTCCACTCACTCTCAGCACCCCCATTACAAAAGCAGAGGGGTCAAGCCTCATTCAGCTGCTCCGGTCAGAGGACGGCCTCCTGCTAAGTTCCACCCTTCTCACAGCCAGAACTCACCTGACTCTTGGCGGTTTAGTCCTTCAGACACGCTCTCTCTTCCTACTTTCACTGAACTCTGCTTTCCCTTAGTCTTTTTCAGAACGTCCCTCCCCTGGATGCTGAGAGAAGGAGCGCAGCCCCGCAGCTACCTGCCTGCAAGCGCAGGCCATCCTGTGAGCGCCTCACTGACAGCACGGCTCAGTCCACACACACCAAGTGGCAGGGAGCCATCTCCCCCAACCTCCCCAGCGAGAGGTCCTTTCAACAACTTGACATCGCAATTAAACAATTACTGTCATTTCTACCAAAGGCCTCCTGTCCCCCTACCCAAGTCATCTTTGCTTTGTCAAAACGGATCTCCATGGGGCTGCTGGCTAAAGCAACGACTGAACAAGTGGTAGGGAGTCCTCTTCCTCTCACTCATATACACACACAGACCTCGCAGGGCATCAAACTAGGACAGCAGCATCAGCCTGAGACCCAGACTGCTCCCGAGAGGAAACATCTCTCCATCGGGCCAGTTGTGGAAACGTTCCAACGCAACCTTTACCTTGGAATCATTCTGACAAGCACTTCAAGCTGCATTTAAATGTCTCCATTGTCACTTCACAAAAAACCTTGGCACGCAAACTCCACATTCACGCAATAATGTCTTCCCTTCCCAAGCCCTGTGAATCCCGAATTTAAGCCTTTGCCCGTGTCAGTATTTCCAGGATCCCAGATCCTCTGCAGTAGTCTAATCACAACTTCACGTATGCCCAGGTTCCACTTCAGGAAAGTCTCCCTCCCCTCCCCAGCAACCCTGAGCCCCAGCGCCACCCGCACCCCAGGACTACTCCCCGGGACCTGAGAGCTGGAACCCCGTCAGGAACGGTCAAGTACTTTCCCATAGCAGCAAAAGCATCACCGTTTGGGTCACTGTTTTGATCTTGACTCCAGAGTAGAAATGGAAAAGCAAATTCAATCATCTACAAAAACTGCTTCATCTACTTCAACTTTGTCAATTTAAATAACTGCCATGATTAGATTCAATTACTGATAAACTAAAGAGAACAGATTGATGAAAATGCACTCAGGGGAAGGAACAAGACCCCAAGTGGCTCTGCTCCACTCACCACACCAGGCACGGCGTGGACCACGCTCCTTTCAAAATGCACTCCACAGCACAGCAGTGGAGACTCAAAAATAAACACACTAATAAAATGATGCAGAAACACGTGTGAAATGATGCTGTGGAATTCTCAATCCCACCAATTAGAGCCCAGGAGGAAGATGACCAATCCACACTCACAGATGCGTTCCCAAAGCAGTTTTGCTCTGTCGGGTGACACCTACCCAGTCAGGTCAAGAGGAGCAGAGCCAGGCTGGTGGCTTTGTTCTCTTCACAACCCCTCAAAGTTCATCCACCTTCAGGTGGCAGTCAAAGAGGCCCACCAGGAGCCCGGCGAACAGGTGAAAGCAGAGGCAGACACACACAAAAAAACAGACCAAACCCAGACCTGTCTGCCACGGGCTCCCCTCCCCTGCCTTACCTTTCAGCAAGGCCTCCCGCTTGGGTTTCTCCTCCAAGATTCAAACTATCAGACGATCCTTTTAAACTAACAGCGGGAGTCAAACTGCCACGCAGGGCGCTCTACCTCCCTCGGAGACGCTGGTTTGCCAGCAGGTGGTGCTTCCCGCATCCCACAACCTTTCACCTCCGAGAATCTGCACCTGTAATTCTCAATTGTTCCCGGTCTAGCAGCCAACTCCCCCGGCTTAAGGCTGCAGCCAGCCGCCACGTCACGTTATGTTATTAACCTACTCTTCCCTCCCCGGAAAAACTTGTAGGACGCTTCCTGTCAAATTTTTCATAAGAATACATTTTTTAAAATCTGAATTTCCTCTAAAGAATATCAAGATTGCAGTTAAAATATCACACAAGGGGGTGGGGGAGGAATACCTGGTAGCATCTTACTTTAAATCACTAACCATCTATAAGGAAATACCCAGAGGTTGGTATCTTTTTAATGATTTTTGATAAGGCTTTAAATGCCTTGGGACAGTACCCAGGACCAGTTGAACTTTTGCCGCATTAAGAATATGAGTCATGTATTTGAAAAATTCCACTTCCACTTATTTTAACTGATTTCTTAAATATCCGGCCACTGTGCCGATTGGTCATCTGTCAGGATTCCTGGGCCCCAAGCAGCCCTCCACGTGGGATTCTAACCTCCAAACCAGAAGCCGCCCTTCCCGGGGTCCTACCTTCAGGGGTAAATTCCTACAGGAAGACCCCCCCCCCACCCGCCTCGGTTAGCACTTTAATAAGTCTTCCATCCTGGGTACTTCCTCTACCCAGCTCGGTCTAACAATCCGAGCCCAGCCTCACCTGTGCCGGCCGGCCGCCCGAGCATGTTTTCAAGGGGTGAAAACTTTGGTTTCTTAATATGGGGCGGGGGTAGGGGATACCTCTATCACTGCGGGAAACGTAATGGGGACTGAATGTATATTATTATTTGGCTCTTCCAGAAAATGTCGCATTTCAAGTCTTTTTATAAACTAGTTTTCCCAGCAAACAGAACAGAGGCGGAAAGAGGAGGGGTGAGTGAAGGAGATAAGGGCTCAAAGAGAAAAAAAAAAAATTCCAGAAACTTGGGACCCAAGCGGCAGAGTCACGGAAAAGTAGTACAAAGGATTACCAAAAAAAAATTTTTTTTTAATTAAATCCCCCTTACCTTTGTTAAGTACTGGAGGCGCCCACTTGAGAAACTACCACCACTCTCCGCCCGGTAGCAATTTACTAGGCTAGGCTGCAGCCTACCTCCGCTTCGGGGCCTCCCTCTTTTTAATGTAAAACCAAAATAAGGAGTGTCCGGCTACTCCCCACCGCGCCGCTTAAAGTCACAGCGCGGCGCAGGCTCCCCTCCCAGGCTCGGGTCTAGGGTGGGATTCCAGGGCGTCCCGGGCGGCTCAGCCACGGGCACCTGCGGGGGGCCGGCTCTCCAGGACGGCCCGGCACCCCCCACCCCCAGAGCTCTACCTTCCTGCAGCCCGTCCCGAGCGGCGCTCTCCCCGCGGGCAGGAGGCGGACGCGCTGACCGCCGCACCGCCGCGTCCCCGGCGGGCGAGGCGAGCGGCCCCGGAGCCCCGCTGCGCGCCCGTGCGCCGTGCGCCCCGGCCCCCGAGCCAGCTCCGCCGGGTCCCCTCCCTGCGGCGCCCGCGGTCCTCCTTCCCCCTCCCCCAGGAGCACCCCAGCCCAGGCCGTCCGCCTCACAGTAGCAAGGTTGTCTCACGTCTACTCCCTTCCCTTAAACTCACCAAACCAGATTTTTACTCCCCAACACTGGCAACTTCCCGTAAATCTGCACTGAAATTGTATCCTGCTCGCTGAGCCTCGGCTGGCGGAAGGCCAGTGCAACATTCCTGTTGTTTTAGGGGAGCACGGATACCTTAGGTTCAAATAGAAAAAATCGACCAGGAGGGGCCCGGTCTGGGGGGAGGTGGAGGGGAGTCGCGGAGGTGGGCTCCCGTCCCCCGCTCACAAAGTCACCTCCTTGTCGGACATCCAGCAGCGGTCCCACGAACGGCACCTGCTCCACCTGAGGACACACGGATGATCCTCCCACCCTGGCCACGGACACCCAGGCGAGCCAGAGCCGCGCCGGACTCCTCGTCCCGAGCGGATCCGTGCCTCCCACCTCCGCGCTTCCACTCGCAACAGCAGGTAGGCAGGGTCCTGCGCTCCCGCCTCCCCGAGCGTCCTCACCTGCAACCCAGCAGGGCCGGGACAGCGCAGGAAGGAACGTCACGCGGACGCAACCCTGACCTTTTCCGAGGCCTTCACAGCAGGGCCTGGACGCCGCTGGCTCACAAGTCGCCCGCGTTCGTGAGCCCTGACCTCGGGAGTTACAGCTGGTTTCTAGAAAGGGAACAACAACAACAACCAAAAAAAAAAAAAAAAAACTATTGCATTTAGAAACTGCAGCCCAGCCCAGCTCTTAACCTTGCCTGGCCCCTGGGGAGTTGGCCCCCACCCCACCCCCGCCGCCTTACCTGTTTACACACAGGGCGTGCAGGAGCCTCCCGCGTTTCACTGCAGCCCGGGGCCCGAGGTAGGCGCCGAACGGGTCAACAGGAATCCAATTCGGTGACTAAACAAACTTGAAGAGGAAGCAGGCACCACCAGGAACCTCAAACGCAGTGCTGATTTCGGTGCAGTGTCATTCAACTGAAATCAACCGAAAAGAGAAAGAGGAAAAAAAAAATGCTTCTCTCGGGCTCCCTGCTGAGTGAGGAAAGGTCCCCAAGCCTTGGGCTCTCGGGAAGGGCGTAGGGACAGCCCTGATTTTGTTGTTGTTGTTGTGTCCTGTTGGTTTATGTTAAACAGGTGGGCTCCAGGGGCAGGCCTTGGTGGGCACACCCGTATCTGAGTGCTTGGGTTTGAATCCCCGCCCTGCTTCTGAGTTCAGCAGGTGATCTCAGGGGACTCCTCCTGCGGGAAGCCTTGGTTGGGTTCCTGGCCTCATCTGGCCCTTGAGAAACATTTGGGGAGTAAACTAGCCCCTCCAAATCAATGAGTTGACAGGTTTAAAATGAGGAAAAGAAGACCCTCACCCAGCCACTCAGCACTAGCCTGGAGGCCATCAGAGTTATTGGACCTTCCCTCGGGGCCTCAGCTTCCAGGCTGTTCTTGTGATGGGATTTTTGGACTATGTGTGTACACAGTCTTGAAGGCCCTGGCAAAGTCTGTAAAGTCCGGCTGAACTTCATTAAGGTGACAAGAGAAATGTGCAAAGGACACTGACCACAGTCAAGCCTGTGTGTGCTGCTGTCGCGTTTGTAGACACGTGACCTGATGCTGGACAGATAATGGCCCCTGCTGTTCAAAAAGCAGTGAGTGGATGGAAGATCTTTGTCTCTCCTTCACTCTATACATCTGACTTTCCAATAAAAATAAGTAAATCTTTAAAAAAAAAAAAAGCAGTGTGAACCATGGGGAGGATATTTAAAACATCACATAAATATTAAAAAGCGTTCAATGCAGGCTAGAATGCCAAACATGCTTTCCATTTTAGCTTCCAGTCATCTTCCCGTGGATGAAAGGGAAACCACAATCCCATTCCACTCTCGAGGCCCATGGTGCCTTGCGATGGAGCCCTCAGCCACCTGACCTGCGCCGACCCTTACACATCCAGCTGGGGAACCCTGCTACCACCCACAGCATGGCTGGTAAAGACACTCGGTCACCCAGGCCAAGTGGTGAGTTCAACATGGCTGTGAGGAAAGACCACGACCTGGTTAGATACAAATGACAGCATCTACTAACTTCAGGGGAAAACTGGGAGAAGATTCTGAAAGGTGGATCCCTTGGATCTGGGGCCCAGAACTGAACCTGGACCCAGCTGAGATGAGCTTTTGGTCCATCCAGACCGCCGTGCACAATGAACAGCAGGTGGGGAGGGTCCTCCAGGGTCCTCTCGCCACATTGGGCCTGGACAAGGCTCTGCAGCAACCTAACTGTCCCAGAGCAGGCAAAAACATTGTCTGGCTCACACATTTTCCCACTTCAAGATGCCTTTTCCTAGAAGAACCCCTGGGACCTGGGGAATAACAACCAGGAGGAATAAAATGGGTTTGAAAGTATGGAAGGCAGTGGCTCCATGTCAGGCAAAGCAGCCCTTTGCTAAGATCCAGGTCAGAAAGTAAATTCTCAAGGCCCAGCGTGATAGCATAGCGGTTAAGGGCCTCACCTTGAATGCACTGGGATCCCTTATGGGTGCTGGTTCTAATCCTGGCAGCCCAGCTTTCCATCCAGCTCCCTGCTTGTGGCCTGGGAAAGCAGCAGAAGATGGCCCAAAGCTTTGGGACCCTGCACCCATGTGGGAGACCTGGAACAGGCTCCTGGCTTTGGATTGGCTCAGCTCCAGCCATTGGGGCTGCTTGGGAAGAGAGCCATCGGATGGAAGATCTTTCTCTCTGTCCCTCCTCTCTTTATATCTGCATTTCCAATAAAAATAAACAAATCTTAAAAAAAAAAAAAGTAAATTCTCACAGCCCTTTGGTTACTTGCTCTCAATCCGATGCCTGCCTCCACTGTTCCTTCTTAGTCTTGCGCACTGGCATCTATAAAATGGGTATAATTCAAGCTCCCAGCTATCTCCCACATCCCTACTCCAGGGATGGGTGAAAATAAAACCATCTTTTAAGATGCAGGCTATAGTAAAAGGAATGTGAACTTTCATCTTTGCTTGTGGCTGACCTGGATGCCTGGTTTTTGTTTATTTGCTGTCCTCAGGCAAATTCCATTCCCCTGGGGCAGTTCTCCAGACCCCTCTGCCTTCTGCTTTCTGCTTCTTTCCCTTCTGCCTGGGGGGCAGTGTTTGGAGTACGGAGAGGAAGGACACTTGGTTTCTCAGAGATTTGTCTTTGGATTTCAAAGTTACCTGTGTGAGGCTGAACATATTGCTTCAGCTTCTACAGTTAGAATATATAGCAAATAGCAACACCTACCTCTCGGGATTTCTATGGGAATTAAATGAGATGGCACATACGTGGTCCTCAAGAGCTGGCAATTTCCATTTGAACTAGAAAATGCCTACTCCTGGGGCTCACAAGTAACTTTCTGCCCCTTATTTACATCTTAGATCAAGTAACACTAACCAAAACACCTCTAAGGAAGAAAAGAAGCAAACTTTAAAGCTTTGTAAAGAACCACAATATAATAATAGCCACCCCCAGTGCACTTCCACTGGCAGACCAGGGGCAAGTTCATGGAAGGGGGGAAGTGTTGAGCTAGTAGTTATGGCACCTGAGTTCCACACCAGAATATCTGGTATCCAGTTTTCTGCCAGTGTAGACCCCACAAGATGCCAATGATGGCTCTAATATTTGGGTTGCTACCACTCACATGGAAGACCTGGCTTGTATTCCTAGCTCCTGGCATAAGCCCCAGTCCAGCTCCACCTACTGCAAACATCCATGTGTATTTCTGTGTCTCAAATAAAAATAGATTAAAAAAAAATTAAGGATACTTGTTGTAGAGTAGTGGGCTGGACTACCACTTGGCATGCCCACATGTCATGCTGAGATGCCATTTTGAATTTTGGCTCCCGGCTGATGTGCCTGGTAGGCAGCAGATAATGGCTCAGCTCCTTGGGTCCCTGCCACCTGCATGGAAGATCCAGCTGGAGTTCCTGACTCCTAACTTCCACCTGCCCGGGCCTCAGCTTTCATGGCCATTTAGGGAATAAACTAGCAGAAGGAAGACCTCTTCTCTCTCTCCTATGTCTATGAAATAGATAAATACATTTTTTAAAGTAATATAAACTTTGGGCCCAGCACCATGGCCTAGCTGCTAAAGTCCTCGCTTTGAATGTGCTGGGATCCCATATGGGCACCGATTCTAATCCCAGCAGCCCGGCTTCCCATCCAGCATCCTGCTTGTGGCCTGGGAAAGCAGTCGAGGATGGTCCAAAGCCTTGCACCCACCTGGCAGACCCGGAACAGGATCTGGGCTCTTGGTTCCGGATCAGCGCAGCACCGGCTGTTGTGGTCACTTGGGGAGTGAATCCTCTGATGGAAAATCTTCCTCTCTGTCTCTCCTCTCTTTATATCTGATTTTGCAATAAAAATAAATAAATCTTTAAAGAAAAAATAAAGTAATACAAACTTTAAATTACATGGAGAAATTAAAGTTTTGACACAAAAATGTTTTTGCAATCCATACTTTTTTCACAGCGTACATTTTCCATGTTACCAGCACTGACCATCACAACTCTGTGATTTTCATTGCTCCATTGCACAGATGAGAAGACTGGGGTTCTCGGCTGTGACTCCAAGCTCCTGGAAAGTTAATAAAGCCATTGCTCTGATTCCCTTGCTTTCCACTGCTCCATTCTAGGGCAACGGTGTGCAGTTTGGGGGATAATCAGAGCTCTGAAAGCTGGTTTTGCTTCCTCATTGTGACTTGACCCAAAAGTTTTAGACTGTACTCATTGTGGAGACATGGATACCCACTACAAACTCCACCAAAGATCTCCCCCCACGCCCCCATAAGTGAGGTGTGCTGAGCAGGCAGCAACCAATTCTGTGACAAGCAGTGGGCCTGCATGACAAACAGCATGGGCCACAAGTCAGCAGCTTCCAAGCTGGCATCCCTCGTGGGGTCAAGGGCAAGATACCTAAGTCTCTAAAGCTCAGGGTCTGCCTGGGACAGGAGCCAACCATAGGGTCATCATGAGAATGAGATGAGATGACCCTAATCAAAGCACAGTGCCCAACACAAGGGGAGCTTTTAATACATATTAAAGACCAAATCCAAGCAGTCAATAAAAGGTTATGTTTCTTTTCTGCCTCAAAAAAAAAAAAAAATCAAAGACCAAGTACTAAAGTGGCTCATGTGAGGTCTAAATAGACTGTGTAGTAAATAAATACAAACAGCATAGCTCACAGCTTCTACAGTGTCCCATTTGTCCACTGGTGGTCATGTCTGTGAAAGCGTTTTCTTAAAAGAAAAAAAATTCATTCTCCAGTTTCATATTAAATTGCCACTGGATCTAATATGTGCCAATTTAAGACACATTATTCCAGGACACCGTGATGCCAAGGATTAAGCCTGGGGGCTAACTGGAAAGGCCACCATGGGCCTCTGGGACAGGCGAGGCCATTCAGAAGTCTATTGGAAGGGAGCTGGGGTTTGTGGTTTCCACGCCACACCATAGGAGGGCCCCTAACTGAATTTTAAAAATGCACTGAGCTCACAGAAAAGGGAATTAAGTATAGCAGGGGTTCACTCCAAACATTAATCTCAGATGCCAAATCCTTCATTGAGAAAGGCCTTGAACCTAAGCATTCCCTTGACCTTCGCTCTTCTTGCACAAAAAGCTCTGTCAAAGCCTGCCCCACTGACATGGGAAGAGTGCTAATGTGAATTATGGGCCCTTTAAAGGGCCTCTCAAGACCAAGGGGTGGTCTTGTTATGACAACAAATGTTAATTCCTCTCTATCCCTTTAAGACTTATTCCCCACCAGAGGAGATTTCCAGATTTTATTTCACAACTTAAGACAACCTTGAGTTAGAAGCTCGATCATTCAGCGGTAACTTCCCAGCCAAGACTGCCAACGTCAAGTTGCTAATATTTATAAAGTGCTTACCGGGTAGAG